TGAAACCTGGGGCTGCTTGTGCTTTTGGGCTTTGTTGCAAAGACTGCCAGTTCATGCCATCAGGCACAATCTGTAGAGAAAAGGACAATGAATGTGATCTTCCAGAATGGTGCAATGGAGCCTCGCATAACTGTCCAGCAGATGTGCATGTGCAGGATGGGGTCCGTTGCATGGCTGCATGTGCAGGACGGGGTCCGTTGCATGGGTGGTGGCTACTGCTATGAAAGGAGATGCAATATCCGGGACAACCAGTGTAAGCAAATTTTTGGCAAAGAAGCCAAGAGTGCAAATCAGAGTTGCTACAGGGAAATGAACATCCGAGGTGACCGTTTTGGTCACTGTGGTTTGAATGGCTCTACATATGTAAGACGTAGTATCTCAGATGTCCTGTGTGGGAGAGTTCAGTGTGAGAATATCACAGAAATTCCTCTTCTGAAAGATCATTCTACTGTGCATTGGACTCACATCAATGGTGTCACCTGCTGGAGTACCGACTACCATTTTGGGATGACCGTACCTGATGTAGGTGATGTGAAAGGTGGCACAGAGTGTGGTGCAGAACACGTGTGCATCCGCAGGCGGTGTGTTCCTATGTCACTTTGGAACAGTTCTTGTTCACCTGAGACCTGCAATATGAGAGGGGTCTGCAACAATAAACATCACTGCCACTGCAGCTCTGAGTGGGACCCCCCTGACTGCCTGACAGCCGGCAGTGGAGGTAGTGTTGATAGTGGCCCACCCCCTCGGAGAAAAGTGGAACCTGAAGGGAAGGTGCTCAAGAGGAGCCACCTGATGATGCCACTTTGGATTCCTGTCTTAGTCTTGCTTTTCTCTGTGTTAGTTTTGCTTTGTTGTATGTTACTATGGCTGTGCAGCATGTGCAGAATGTCAAATAAAAAAGAACTAAATGTTTAATTTTCATCCGATTAAAAGCATGCACAAAAAGTTTAAAATTCACTTCAGAACAAAAAGTGAAATATTCCAACTTCACCTAACAAAAAATAGCAAAAAAATCACAATTTCAGAAAATTAACCCGTTCTTACTGAAATTTTGCTGTATTACTTTTTAGGGTATTGGAAATAGAAATGTTACTGCACATTTAAGGGGCCACTGAGCGAAAAACCCAGGGATGTATTTTGCTTCAGGATCATATACATGAGCCATTAAGTAAAGGGAATTCCCAGCATAATCCTACCTTTCATTATTGTAAGCAGCGTTACTGGTTTATTTTCATGGAGTTAGTCTCTGTGTTTCCTGAGCAAAGGCACAGCTCATGGCCAGCATGTGTGTGTTTTAATTTGCTCTCCCTCGACTCCAACCTCCTTCCCCTTTTTGCTCTGCTCTGTCACATGGGGAATGGGAATCTTCACGTTGCATTTCTTCTTTGTCAGTCCTCTCTGTGCGTTTCTGCCAATAGGAGAGCTAGAGGGAGACTGGAGACCTAGAGAATAGTCTGAGTGCTGTTGATGTCACTGTGGCCTCAGTACCAGCTTGCACCTCGGCAGCAGCAGTAGCTTTCACTCTGCACCTTATTACTCTGTGTACTTAGTAACTCCCGGTACCAACAGTAATGTCAGCCTAGAGATGCCAGCACAGCCACCAAGCAACTCACCCTCGCAGTTCTGATTCCCAGGTCTTCGAGCTTCCACCTAATTCCAGAGGCTCCAGCATCACGTTGGCTGTACCCTGTCCTCAGAGGTGGTCCTAGAACCATGGCACCTATTCCAAAGCTCTAAGTTCAAATAACCCCAACCTCTCCCCTTTGATCTC